GTGCCGGCTGAACTGGTGATCTGAAGATTTCGAATCTGCAAGACAGCGTGAGTTCCCATCTGTCAGCTCCAGCTTCCCATGCAAGGACATGAGAGAAGCCTCCCACAGAATGGTAAAACATCCGGATGTCCCCTGGGCAGAGGCGGCCCTAGGTAATTTTCAATGGAAAGCAAACAGTATTTTGGCGCTCCCCCCACCCCAACCAATCACTGATATATATTTTCTGTTCATCGTGGGAGTTCTGTGTGCCATATTTGATTCAATTCCATAATTGGTGGAGTTCAGAATGCTCTTTGATAGTAGGTGAACTATACATCCCAGTAACTACAACTCGCATATGTCAAGGTCTATTTCCCCCCCAAGAGTGCCTCAAGAGCGCCCCTGGGCAAAATCAACTATACTCAAAGGCTTACTTTGCGTAATGGGTAGAGCCGCCCCTGCCCCTGGGCAACATCCCTGCAGATGGTCAATTCTCTCACAATGGAAGTGACTTGTAGTTTCTCAAGTCGATCCTGACACAATTAAAAAAAAAAAAGATCCTGAGCCACTCCTCATAGAGCTCGGCATCCAGTTCTTTTACCATTTTAGTCACTCTTCTTTGGACACATTGCAGTTTGTCAGTATTTTTCTTGACTTGTGCCCAGAAATAAACACAGTATTCCAGGTGAGATCTGGCCAATGCAGAATATGGAGGTACTATTATTTCCCTTGATATAGATACAATACTCCTTTTGATGCAGCCTAGAATCACACTTGATAAACTTCTACCGAGCTCAATTCAAGGTGCTGGCGTTGGCCTATAAAGCCCTAAACGTTTCCGGCCCAAGATACCTATCTGACCGCATCTCAGGCTATGAACCCACCAGGACTTTGAGATCTTCCGGGGAGGCCCTGCTCTTGATCCTGCCGACTTCTCAAGCACGGCTGGCGGGGACGAGAGATAGGGCCTTCTCGGTGGTGGCCCCTCGGCTGTGGAACGCCCTTCCTGTGGACATTAGGCAGGCACCATCTCCCATGGCATTCCGAAAAAAGTTGAAGACCTGGATGTTTGTGCAGGCGTTCGAGTAATCTAGTGCAATATTGGTAATTGAACATAGGAATGGAACAATGGACTCCTTTTGATGCAGCCTCTGTTTAAAAGCTTCCAAAGAAGGAGCCTCCACCACGATCCACCTGGACTACGCTTTGATGATGAGGCGATTGGGCTGGTTATTGTAATAATTGTTTAGTGTAATTGCTTGTTGTTTATTAATTGGATAATGTGTTAAGTGGTCAATTGTTATATATGCATTGAATTATTGCTGTTTTTATTGTGTGTAAGCCGCTGTGAGTCGCCTTCAGGCTGAGAACAGCGGTATATAAGCAAAGTAAATAAATAAATAAATAAAAGTTATTGCTTTTGGACTGCAATTCCCAGATTAGTCCACCCAGTGTGGCCATTTCTCTCCCTGCCTTTCTCTTTCTTTCCTTCCCTCTCCTAATATCTTTTCCCCTTTCCTTTCTCTTCCTTCCCTCCTTTTTCTATCTTCCCCATCCCTTGCTTCTCCCATTCCCTCCTTTCTCTCTCTCTTTCCTGCCCAATCCCTACATACACATGTTACCTAGCAGCAACCAATCTGCTCCTTTTATCTCCCAGTTACATGACAAAGAGCCACTCCACCTAGCCACAGTCAATCTGTTTTGCTCCTTTCCCCCTGTTCTGAGCCTGAAAGGGATGGAAGGATTTTTGTTGTTGTTCAAACTCCTTAATTATTTTAAGTTGGATAGTGAAGGATATGTGTGCCATGTTTTCATAGAGTCATAGAATCATAGAATCAAAGAGTTGGAAGAGACCTCATGGGCCAGCCAGTCCAACCCCCTGCCAAGAAGCAGGAATATTGCATTCAAATCACCCCTGACAGATGGCCATCCAGCCTCTGTTTAAAAGCTTCCAAAGAAGGAGCCTCCACCACGATCCACTACTAAGCCATGTAGGAGATTTGGCGGTACAAACCAACAAACAAGCATATATATACCGTATTTTCTTCTCAAAGTTTCAGTGTTACTCAAGGGCAGGCAAAGTCCAGCCCTTCAAACACTGTGGGGCCATAGTTCCCTCTTCAGGCCAGTGGCATTACCAGCAGTGAAGAATCTTGGGAGTTGACAATTCTTGCATCACTCCCATAGCCACACTGGATATACCCCCAGGACTGCACATAAATCCACGAAAAGATGGATCATACTGATCCCTATTGAAATGGGCCCAGATATAAGGGGTTTACTGTATAGTAATAGTAGGAAGACTGCACTTTTCCACCTTCTACTAAAAAAAATGTGTTTGCAGATACATCACCACATAAGTGTGCTCTGCGGGAGTGCTGAATCGCTGCAGCTCTTGGTTGAGTGTATGCCCTGAAAACTCTCTGCCTGGGTTGCTGTGAGTTTTTCGGGCTGGATGGGCATGTTCCAGAAGCATTCTCTCCTGATGTTTCAACCGCATCTATGGCAGGTTGTGAGGTCTGTTGGAAACTAGGCAAGTGAGGTAAGTCCACCTTCTCCGAGGTGAACTGAACCACCTAAACTTGACTCTACAGGCCAATGGATACTCCACCACAGACATCAGAAGTACTGCAAGACCAAGTAGAAGCTACGAGAGTAAAGACAAAGATCCACCCAGGGGGAAAGTGTTCTTACCATACATCAAGGAAACCACTGACTGCATAGGGAAGCTGATGAGGAAACACAACCTACAAACTATCTACAGACCCACTAAGAAAATCCAACAAGTGCTACGTTCAGCAAAGGACAAGAGAGATCCCCTCACCTCTGGAAAAGTCTATCGTATACCATACAGCTGTGGACAAGTCTACATAGGGACCACCAAACGCAGCATCACCCAGACACGAATCAAGGAACATGAAAGGCATTGCAGACTACTTCAGCCAGAGAAGTCAGCCATAGCAGAGCACCTGATGACCCAACCTGGACACAGCATATTATTGGAGAACACAGAAATGCTGGACCACTCTCACAACCACCATGTCAGACTACACAGAGAAGCCATTGAAATCCACAAACATGTGAATAATTTCAACAGAAAGGAAGAAACCATGAAAATGAACAAAATCTGGCTACCAGTATTAAAAAAACCTCTAAAATCAGGACAGTAAATAAAGAGGAACATTAAAAAAAACAGGGAAAATCCAGACAAGAAACAATCAGGGCCAGTTCACCTCCCAACAACAAATTCCCCCAGGCAGGAATCAGCCAGGCTTTGAAGCTGCAAGGCTTTGCAACGCTAATCAGGATGATTAATTGCAACATTCACACTTGCCTCCAACAGACAAGAGTTCTTTCTCCCACCCGAACCTTCCACAGATATATAAACCTCACGGCTAGTTTCCAACAGGCCTCACAACCTCTGAGTATGAACAAAATGAACAAAATCTGGCTTACCAGTATTAAAGAATTCCAAAATCAGGACAGTAAATAAGGAACAACACTCAAAAACAGGGGAATCCCAGACAAAAAAACAACCAGGACCAGCGAATCACCCCAACAAAGGATTCCCCCAGGCAGTAAGAAGCCAGCCTTTGAAAGTGCTAGGCCATTAAATGCTAATCAAGGTGGCCAATTGAAACATTCGCACTTGCCTTGAACAGACAAGAGTTCTTTCTCCCACCCTGGACATTCCACAGATATATAAACCCCTATTTTCCTAGTTTGCCTGCCATAGATGTGGGTGAAAGGTCAGGAGAGAATGCTTCTGGAAGATGGCCATACAGCCTGGAAAACTCACAGCAACCTAGTTATTCCAGCCATGAAAGCCTTCAAGAACACAATCTCTGTCTGCTTTGAGGAGCATACAAAGTGATCACTAGTACTGCTTCTTAAAATATGGGTCCTGACCCCAAATGGGCTCCCCTTCATTCAATGATGGGGTAAAACGTTGGATGGAATATATTGAATGGATCATCTTTTTGTGCTGTTTAAAGCTTTCTCTGTTCTGTCCATGCTACTTCTGCTTCTAGTTCCAAATTTCCTCTTAAAGAAGCCCTGGCCACCCAGATACTTCATCCATAACTTCAGTCTCACTCCACTATGCTTTGCTGGGCAGAATCGTGTTTGTGCCGTCACCTTCCGTACAAAACAACACATTTTGTGAAATGGCAAAACTAGCTAACTATCTCCACATTCTATTCCTTCACAGACCACAACTGAAGCTGATAACACAAACAGCATCTGCCGACACAGATTAAACCTGCCCAAATAGTGAAATTAGTACTATTTACACAGCTGGACAACTATATAGAAACTTGTAGTCCAGGGCCAAAGCCCATCTCTGTCTGACATGGGTCTTACACTAATATGATTCTAGGTATCTTCTGAAATTCACCCTTAAAGCAGTGTTTAATGTGATATTTCACTATCATGTCATTGGCTTGGTCTCTTCTCTCATGCTTTCACTTTAGTCCAGGCCTGGGCAAACTTGGGCCTTCCCTCCAGGTGTTTTGGACTTCAACTCCCAGCATTTCCAACAGCCTCAGGCCCCTTCCTCAGCCGCTTAAACGGGTGGACTTCAACTCCCACTATTCCCAACAGCATCAGGCCCCTTCCTCAGCCGCTTAAGAGGTTGGACTTCAACTCCCAGCATCCCCAACAGCCTCAGGACCCTTCCTCAGCTGCTTAAGCGGTTGGACTTCAACTCCCAGCATCCCCAACAACCTCAGGTCATTTAAGTGGTTGGACTTCAACTCCCAGCATCCCCAACAGCCTCAGGCCCCTTCCTCAGCCCCTTAAGCGGTTGGACTTCAACTCCCAGCATCCCCAACAGCCTCAGGTCATTTAAGTGGTTGTACTTCAACTCCCAGCATCCCCAAAAGCCTCAGACCCCTTCCTCAGCCGCTTAAGCTGTGAGGAATGCTGGGAGTTGAAGTCCAAAACACCTGGAGGGAGGACCCAAGTTTGCCCAGGCCTGTGGAAGGCGAAAAGACTTGCCGGCCACTCACTCCTTCACTCACCTCCACCAGCGTGTAGTCGCGCTCTTTGGGGCCCGGATGACGCATCCTCCTCAGCGGGAGCCCATCCAGCATCGCACCCAGGAAGACCGCGCTTAGCATCAGCCCCACCGCGCCCACGACCCTCGGCATCGCTTCCTCCCAGGGAAGACCCCAACAGTGGCGTCCCAAAACGCCGAAGAGAAGCAGATCCCTTTAGGCTGCAGGGGGGAAAGACCCTGTGGGTCCTGCTTTCGGAGCAAACTCCCAGCAGAGGCGGGTGGGCAGGCGGGGAGGGCGCTCTTCCTTCCTTCCTTCCTTCCTTCCTTCCTTCCTTCCTTCCTTCCTTCCTTCCTTCCTTCCTTCCTTCCTTCCTTCCTTCCTTCCTCCGTCCGTGGTCACGCTTCGACCCTCGCTGTCTCTGTCCCCTGATGCAGAAGGGAGGCAGCCCCGCAAGGCGGGAGAGAAGGCGAAAGAAGTCGGAGACACACACACACACAGAGAGAGAGAGAGAGAGAGAGAGCGCGCGCAAAGGCGCAGGACGGGGCTCCTCTTTGGCGAGGCTCCTGCCTTTTCCTCCTCCTCCTCCTCTTCTTCCACGCGAAATCAGTGGCCTGCCCCACGGAAGGGGCCTCGGGGAGGCCGAGCCGCTGCTTCTGGCCCCCAAACGACCCCTGGGGAGGGGGCTCCTCTCTCCATGCGCCCCAACGGAGCGCGCTTGCCCAGGATCCCAATCCGCTCCGCTCGGCCCGGCTGCCGCATGCCTCCGGCTCCTTCCTGGCGTGGATTTACCTCGGGGGCTTCACCGAGGGGCCTCCCTCCTGGCGCGGATCATCCTCGAGGCGCATCTCGGCTAAAGACCCTGCCTGCCAAAGACCGGCCGGCGCTTTGTGGCATCCACTCTTTCGCCCCTTTTGGGAAGTCTTGGCCCTCCTCCTCCTCCTCTTCCTCCTCCTGTCTTCACTGCAGCCTTCCCTTTGATCCAAGGCTCAGTCCCTCTCCTTTGGGAGGCCTTGACCCTCCTCCTCCTCCTCCTCTTCTTCCTCCTCTTCCTCCCTTCACTGCAGCCTCCTCTCTTTGATCCGAGGCTCTTTCCCTCTCCTTTGGGAAGCCTTGACCCTCCTCCTCCCCCCCCTCTTCCTCCTCCCTTCACTGCATCCTTCTTTTTGATCTGAGGCTCTTTCCCCCTCCTTGGGAAGTCTTGACCCTCCTCCTCCTCCTCCTCTTCTCCCTTCACCCTCCTCTCTTTGATCCGAGGCTCTTCGGCTCTTCTTTCCCCGACTCGTGCCTCCTTCGAGCCTCCGCTCAGCTTTGCTCTCCTTCTCCCTCCGCAATTCCAAGCTTTCCCCTTCCTTCCTTCCCTCCCTCCCTCAGCCCTTCCACTCGCTCGGGTTTCTCTCCTCCCTCGAAGCCGCTGGCGTCTGTGACGATGTCCCCATTCTTCCTCCCCCCCCCGCCCTCTTCCCGAAAAGCCCACTGAAGAAGGAAGGACCGAAAGCCCCGTGAAGGGTTGGCAGGCGTCCCTCCACCCCTGCCGCCAACAATGGCTCATCTGCAAAGGTGCGCGCCACGCTGCCATCGCGGCTTCTGCGTGCAGGCAGCCAAACCGTGGCGAGAAGGGAGTGCTGGGCTCGACCCAGTTCGCTCTTGCTGCTTCAGAGAACAGGGAGAGCCCAAGAAGGAAAGGGATCTCCACTGGCCAGTGGCTCCTATTGTCAGAACGTTCTTCCCAATGTTCAGGTGGAATCTCTTCTCCTGCCATTTGAATCATAGAATCCTAGAGTTGGAAGAGACCTCGTGGGCCAGCCAGTCCAACCCCCTGCCAAGAAGCAGGGAAATCGCAAAGTACCTCTACAGATGGCCATCCATCCTCTGCTTAAAAGTCTCCAAAGAAGGAGCCTCCACCACATTCCGGGGCAGAGCATCTCACTCTTCAATCCCACCCTGAACTTGGCTTATTTGTATGTCCATTGAGGTTTATGACATTTAGTACAGCATGTCAACGACTTAAATCAAGACATAGTTTTCTTAGATCTACAGAGACACTCGCTGGCACACCCCAGCAAGTGAGAGTCCAAAAGTGGCAGGCCCAAACCCAGCACCTCAATTCATGGGTGATACCAGATGAGAGATTCCCCCCTGGGCACTCGGAAGACTGGGCGACTTGGAAGGCGCTGAACAGACTGCGCTCTGGCACCAGGAGATGCAGAGCCAATCTTAAGAAATGGGGCTACAGGGTGGAATCCTTGGCATGCGAGTGCAGAGAAGAACAAACCACTGACCACCTGCTGCAATGCACCCTGAGTCCTGCCACATGCACAATGGAGGACCTTCTTGCGGCAACCCCAGAGGCACTCCAAGTGGCCAGATACTGGTCAAAGGACATTTAACCAAATACCAAATTTGCAAAATCTGTGTTTTTTTTTCCCTTTTTCTTTTTAATCTGTGTGTTTGTTTTGCTCTGTTAGAATTGTAATACAATGGTTGCTGATGACACGATAAATAAATAAGTACAGTCGTTGCATGTATAGGTCTAATTCAGTGGTTCTCAACCTGGGGTCCCCAGATGTTTTTGGCCTACAACTCCCAGAAATCCCAACCAGTTCACCAGCTGTTAGGATTTCTGGGAAATATCTGGGGACCCCAGGTTGAGAACCACTGGTCTAATGGAGCAGCAGTGTTTCATCACTTCTTGCTCTCTTCTCAAAGAGCCACGCAGACCTTGGGGCTTCTGCTCCCCGTTTCCCAGAGAAACATAGGCAATGCTGGAGAGTCTGAAACATCTGGAAAGCATAGGGGTGTGTTGACTTTCAGATGGCTCTCACCATTCTTTTCCTCTTGGCTATTCTGGAAAACAGAAGCTTGAAACATCTGGAGGGGCAAAGGTTGTCTACCTTGTATTAGAAGTTCTGAAGATACAACACTTAGTAGGAAGACCTAATAAAGCACATTGTTATGAGGATCTAAAAACTTTAGAGATATGATTGCAGTACAGCAGATCCTCCCTGTAGGGAGGAGGGGCATACTTAGCCCCCCCCCCCCCCAGACTGCAATTTTATGGCAATCTGATTGAAGTGTTGGTCTTACTGTGAAACAGCAGGATGAACAAGGGACATCAGTGCAATCACTCCCTAGCACAGTGGTTCTCAACCTGTGGGTCCCCAGGTGTTATGGCCTACAATTCCCAGAAATCCCGGCCAGTTTACCAGCTGTGAGGATTTCTGGGAGTTGAAGGCCAAAACAGGGACCCACAGGCTGAGAACCACTGCCCTAGCACCAAGTTTGGGATTGTGGCAGAGAATCCCTATTAATTCACAGAATAAGGTCAATGAAACAGATTGGCTAGCAGCTAGAGTGCGGGTGGCACAGGTCTTGGAACAGATGCCATTGAAGAAGAGAAAGCCTTCTTCATTGTGCCTATCAGGTGGCATAATGCTTAAGGTTGCATCCTTAATTTGCTGCACATCAGAATTATTCTGAGTGCCTGTTGAGATCAGTCCCAGAGAGACCAGGAATTAAAGCCTCAATTATTTAACTGTGAAAAAATTGGAAGGCACTTCAAGGAGCAAAGTGCTCATTTTTGCTCAGAAATTGACATCCACCTTATTACAGTCTGGAGAAGTGTCCAATGCACTGTTTGGCCAGAATTTTTAGGGATGTGTTCCAGTTAATGTAGCATAATGTGGATAAGGTGCCTGAATCATTCTGTCCCACCATATGTAAACATTGCCTGGTTGTTCAGATCAAGTGAGCAAGAATGAACGAGGGCATCTGGGGTCTACAATCACCTCACTGATAACTGCAGTTAACTATACAAGTGCCTGGATTTATAATGGGCCAGATGAATGCATAAACTAATCTTCAAACCTTGCAACTGATCAGCACCTCAGTGTTTAATATGCCAGAGGTATATAACCTACAAACCCCTAAAGATGGTGTCCTGGGACTCCCCATCACAAATTTCATAAATCACTTAATTCATGCTATCATTATAAGGAAAAAGGCAGACTGATCTGTTATCTGCTGCGAGAAGAGTAGAGAAAGAACTCTTCTTTCCACTGCCTAAAGCCTCCTCAAAGATAATTATTTCCACAGGACGGGATGGAGAGAAAGTTTTGAAGTTCCAGGTAGTGTGGAGCAAGGGTAGCAAAGCTAGGGGTCTTTCAAAACTATTGTTACCTGAGGCCCTCACAATTAAAAGAAGTTGTCATTCTGATATACAGTCAGCCCGAAGTTCTCCTTGTAATAGGATAGAGGCTGCCCAATTAGCTATTAGTAATTTGCCTTGAATTTGTGTTCCAGATCACCCCAGAGGCAGGCATTGGACAATCTCCTATTCATGACAATAGCAGGCATTTTCAAAGCCAAATAAAGATCTATGTGCCACATTTACTACCCCATTATCCAGAAGTATGAAAGCATTTGCCTTTGGAGAGCTAACCGGCTTTCTCTGATTCAGACAAGCTCAGCCTCTGTTCCTCTAGCGTCTTAATGGGAGCACCATACATCCTCACAACAGCATTACATTAATTTGCAGAGGCAATAATTAAGCATTTAAGTTGGAGCAAGAAATTAGAATTTCCAATATTCGACTGCAGCAGTCTGATTAAAGACAGAAATTAAATATTCCTAAAATCTAAACAAACCATAACAAAGATTGGAATCAAGGTAAGCTTCCCAGAAGGTTCCCCTTATCTCTAGATTCAACCTGATATTTGGGGAAAGGTAAAAAAATAACTCTCAGCAAGGTGGAAGAGAGTAATAAAAGAGGAAGGCCACATTGCAAATTGATAGATTTAGTCAAGGAAGCCACAGCCCTAAGTTAGCAGGACCTGAGTAAAGCTGCTGATTATAGGTTGCCTTGGAAGTTTCTCTTTCATAGGGTTACCATAAGTCAAAGTTGACAGTAGCTAACAACAAAATTTTTAATTCAAACAGTCTGGTGAAGGAAGCATGGCCAATTTTAATATTCTTTACTGTCAAAACCTTGCTTTGGAAGATGAGCAGATTTTAAAGTTACCAGCACTGTAAAGTAGGGATAAGGATCCTATTGCCCTTCAGACTGAACTGCACATTGAATGCCCTTGGCACTTGTTTGTAAAGGTGGAGTTTGGCAGGAATCCAGTATAATTTAGAGGGCCAAAGGTTTGTAATTCCAACTAAAAGGGCCTCATAGATGTAGAAAGAATAGGCACTTCATGAAGGGTGCTATATTAATTTAGATCTTCCAGGGTTTGTTATTAATTGCAAAGTCTTGCATGTTCAAAAATAATGCTTTTTTAAAAATAGCTGGAGTGGTAAACATGTTAATTACCAGTTACTTATCAATTGGCAAATTAGTACCCCATTACACAGCACAATTCTACGCAACCAGTTCTAGGATTGCCTTCTACTGCACTCAATATGTTTTTCCCCCAAATCCCATATAAGTCAACCAGCTAACAAATGGAGTTTTAGAATCAATAAGTAAGTGTTTATATCACTGTGGTTCAAAATCCTAATACTGGCACTGAAGGGTAGCCCTGGTTCAAATTCATGGACATCAGTGATACTATGTAGTATATGAATCAACTCTTGATAAGTCCTTCTACATCCAGGAAACAGTTGCACATTGTATCACAATGCAATGTACCAGTATGGTAAACCTTTACATGTTGGACTTTAAGTCTCATAATCCTTAAGCCCTGACCATGCTGGCTGGGGATGAGGAAAGTTAGAGGAGTCCCATCATTCGAGGGGGCAAAGGTTCCAGAATGCAGGGCAGTATCTTACTGCACTTATGGAGACATCACAGGATATAATTAGTCAGTCTCCTGTATCCATGGATTCTACATCCACAGAGTCACTATCCATGGCTTCAAAATATTCAAACAGCAAAAAAGCCCCCAAAACAAACCTCTTAGTTTTGGCATTTTATAAGTGACATTTTTTACCTCAGTACTGTAGTAGTAAAATAGCGAGCATCCACAGATTTCAGTATCCACGGAATCACACAACAATATAGCCAGGTCTTCCGTCAACATTTCACATTTAGTGATAGCGTAGTATTCCAGAATGTTGGCCAGCGATATAGGATATTTTTAAGAAGGCTCAAAAGACAGTTTTTGTGTGAAGTCTTTAATAAGCAGAACATAACTAAATTTTGTCAAGCAGTTTCTCTCAGCTTAACATGCATTATTTCCTTCTTCAAAGCCAATGCAGGATCTGCTTCACTGCCTCCGCCCTCCCCACATGGTACTCAGCATTGTGCTATTTGTTCAAGGTGTAAAAAAGGCATATTTCTGAAAGAAAACATCTTGGGGAGGTAATTAAAATTTTACTTCAAATGTTAGTATCTATAAAAAAAATCTAGGATATATATATACATTATTACCAGAGAGGCATAGCAGCACAGTGCAATTTAAGACTTAGGAGTTACTGTTTGGAGGACAAGCTTGCTCTAGTCTGTAGAGAATATGGGCCACCATTAGCTTTGAGGCTGATCAGCCTTAAGCCTCAGACTCCATATGTTTGTCGTCCCCCACACTCCTAAATTTTCCCCTCTTCTACAGCCATACATGAATGGAGGAGAGGGTTTTGATACAGGGGTTGCTGAAATACTGGCCAAAAGTGTATTTGGCAAACAAACCACACAAAGAAGGTTTCTATACTTCAGTGCATTTTGCTTTGGACAGTGTTTTGGTAGCCACCTCACATTTTGGAATACTCCAGCTGTTCTAGAGAAACACCTGTGTCAACAGATGAGTAGACAACTAGCCAAGTAAGCTATATACATACAAAAGTCATCTTCCATCATGTCATTAATCATACAGCTGTCTCCAAAGAAATCAACTAGATCATGCTATGCACAACATAATAGAGACAAAAGTGGTTCTTAAAAGTCTGGACCTCTTACAATGCTCTTGCTGAATCAACCGTGCTCAAAGTAAACCAATATGAAAGAATCACTCAATCAAATTAAGGCTATATTTATGAAATGCTTCCTATAGTAAAGTCCAAAGATAGGAAGCCAGGATGTAGGTAACAAAGGTCTGTATTTCATGTTTATTTTGGCCATGTTGTTAGATTCAATGGTAACTATTGCTGTTAACCTTTTATGAGATTACAAGTAATATTTAGTATATTAGGATAATATAATTTTTTGATGAAATATAGCAAGAGGATAATATGCTGTAAAATTATTTGAAAAAACAGATGTAGTAAACCTTGTACATTAAACTGCAAGTCTTGAAGACTTAATGAGAATTAGTTGCCATCCTTCACTACTTTAAGCTTGATTGACTGGCCTATCTATCAGTTTAGAGCGCTAAAGGGCAAACCACATTCGGAAATATAATGATCTACAGGACAAAAATTAAGTAGATTAAGGCCTTTTACATATTAAAAAACCAGTCTGACACACTTTCAGGGGGAAAAATTGCAACACATCCGATTAAAGAAACAGTATTCCTTTTAGTATCACTGCAAAGACCTTTCAAGCCAATCTAAACTTATGATACATCAAAATGTAAAATACACACAAGCTGCTTTTAAAATAATCGAAGATAAGGGCGTAGGTACGTGGGAGTTCAGATTGATCAATTTTAAGGAGAATAAAACTCATTTTATGATAGATTAATTGATACATTATCAAATTATTCATATGATAATTGTTTGTTTTTGGGAGATGGAATGGAGTGATTTAGCCTCAAATGGACAGTTTTTGAGAAAAATATAAAGATTACACAAGGCAAATTCTCAAAACCTTTTTTCAGTTTGGTATTGGTAAGCAGTTGGAGATTTAAACATGAAGACGATAAAGAATATACTTTTTCCTTGAAATATGTAAGATTGCTTTTGAGAATGATAGGTTTCTTCTCACAGACTATAGCTAATGGAATTACAAAATTTGATAGAATATTTTGAAGACAGCTTGGATAAAGGCATGAACATTATTAGAAAGGTATGGCACTCAAGTTTAATATTGTACAACCAGAATATGGAATTAAAAAGGAAGCAATAGCAAAGATGCAATTATTATAGCCAGTGATTAAAAAGAAGAATGAAGTAACTCTCATCATGAACAAGGTAGTGAACAGTAAAAATATTGCAAAGTCAAGTGTTAATGATGATGGTAAGTGAAATAAAAAAAAATTAAAATGCTGTATCAGGGGTTCTCAAACTTTGTCAGCTGCAGAGCCCTTTTTGAAGCAGAAGTTTCTTGTGGAGTCCCAATAAATGTTTATATATTATACCATATTATATTTAATGTATATATATCAGGCATGGTCCAGGACAGTGGCAGATGGATGGAGAGTGTTTGCGTGAGCTAATTCACACAGTGCAAAAAAAGAAAAAAGAAAAAGAAAAAAAGGCAAGAAAGAAAGAAAGAAAAAATAACAATATAATATTTAAAATGAAAAACAACTCTAACCAACATACACTTAACAGTATTTCAGTGGAAGACCCCCAGGGCCATCCAGTCCAACCCCCTGCTGCCATGCAAGAAAAGCACAAATGAAATACCCTCAACAGATGGCATCCAGCCTTTGTAATTATTATTATTAATAATAATAATTAATAATAACAGCAGAAACTTCAGAGGTCATCCAGTCCCATCCCTTGCCATGGAGGAGAAAAATAGTCAAAGCACCCCCTGAGCAGTGAAAAGGTTTTGGAAGTAAACAATGCCAGGGGAAGAGGGGTGGAAGAAAAAGACTGGGCAGCAAGGGAGGCAGGAGGAAAGGATCTGGGCAGTAAGGAAAGGATTCTGGGCAGTGAGAGGCAAAGGGAAAGGGTCTGGGCAGTGAGAAAAAAATCTGGGTGGTGAGGAAGGCAGGGGAGAAAGAATCTGTGCCCCAGGAGGACACTGCTGTTGCTGCAGCTCTCTCCAGCAAATCAAAACTTTCATTTCCCTGCATTTCTCAGAAGGAGGAGAAAAGAGGAGGATGTGGGAAGCAGAATGGAGCTGCGGAGCCCCTCACACCCATGGAGCTCCAAGGGCTCTGTGGAGCACAGTTTGAGAACCCTGTGCTAAACAATAGAATTTCAAATTTGCAAATAAATCCAGGAGATGGTTTATGCATAGACTGAGGTAAGAAAGAGAAAACGTTAAAGATACAAAAAGGAAAGAAACAGTGATAGTGTAAACACTTGGAAAGTGTGTTGTCACATCACAGTCATAATTGATATTTTACAGACAAATATGGACAAGAAACTATTATTCTGAGTTAAACAAATCAGAATTTTAGACACTTGTGAACTGATGATAAACATTTGATTAGTAAGATGCATACTTTTGTTAAAAATGGAAGAACAAGTTAAAGAATATATGATGAAATGGCCACAATATTTTGGATACTGTGGTTAGAACAATGGCCAAAAGGAATGGAATTTCTATAATGTTATGCTCTGAAAGAGATTTTTTTATAAGATGATATACAATTGGTATTTAACATCAGAAAAAAATGGCCAAATTCATAAAGGAGTTTTTAATATACGCTGGAAATGTGGGATCTTTTATATGGTGGACTTGCGGATTGCCCAAAAATTCTGAAATCGAATACATACAATTTGCAAGTTAATTTTCAGGTGAAACCTGATTGATATCTATTGCTGGAGGACCAAATGGAGAAGAAATATGCTGTGATCATATATCATAAATATGATATATGACCACAGCAGCAAGACTAAGTGCAGAAATGAAAGAATACAATTATACCAAAGTATAAAGAAGGTTCAAATGTTTGGACTTAGCTGCAATGGAAAAATGTTAGAATTCTGATTACGGAACAACCATTGGTGACTTTTTCACAGAACCACGAAGTTTTAATCGGGTTTTTTTTAATAGAATGAGAAATTATTGATTTTGATATTTACTTTTATAATTAATGGGTTAGTTTGAGTAGTGAAGAAGATACATGTTAATTATATTTGGAGAGGTCTTTTAAAATTTAGTTCTATATAATCATCATTAGGAAGGTTGGAGATAAATTTTATATACTTTTCCTTACTGCTTTTATACTTACTATGTTTCATTTTATTTGTATTGATTTTTCTTTTCATTTGATTCACTGACCTTTGAGTCTTTGTTCTTATTATATATGAAAATCTCAAATAAAGATCTTAAACTAAAAAGCTTTTTAAAAACGAAAATATATGCACATTTTTTTTTTTTTGCAATTCATACACACTCTAAGTTACATATGCTCTAGAATTCACACCAGTGCAAAAAAAAAGATGATGAGTCGGGGGCAATTTGGCCTGCAGATAAACACACACTGTACATTACATGAATTTCATCTTCCAAGAAAGAGAAAACAAAACACCACAATGGAAACAATGTCCAATGATCCCATATTTATACTCTGGTCCTGAGACAGCCAGCACACAAGTAGAGAGAGGTCCATAACAGCAAGCAGTATCCAGATGTTGAAAACTTTAAAAAGCCATGACAGTAATTTGGTGACAAGCTTTTCAAGCTTTGATAAAGGACTTAATTCTACAAAGTGATGTTTGAGACATGAAGGAAAGCAGCTGTCATATCTGCCAGCCAAATCATTTGCTCGTCCCTTAAGCCCCCTATTATAAGCCCCTTTCCTCTTGGTTCTCAACTTTGCTAGGATTGGGGAATGACCACTCTCTTAATTTTGGTATGGTTGAAAAACAACAAATAACCACATAGCAAATGATCTTTCCTAGTTCTCTCAGGCTATGTGTTCATAACATTCAATGTGCAAGAGCAATTGATCTGATACAAGAATTTAGTGGACTGGGATCAGGCATTAATGAGGACTTTAAGAGCTCCAACTCGAGCTATTTTGCCTTTGGTACAATAGAAGCTGTAAATGAAGCAACAAGCTCTACATTTTCAAGTGTGCAAACAAACTTGGTGGATAAACTAGGCTACAATGATGGTCTTTTGGAATACTCTCCATGTAAACACATGGTATTTCTGTCCTTTGCATCTGGTTTCCCTGCCATGAAATTCTATCTGCTTTCTCAAGGAACAGTCATACAGTAGGAAAAGTTGTCCTTTTCATTCTCATGCACCTTATCCAATTACACTGTATATTAGAAACCACCATTACAGAGTGGCAGTATAAACTGTCCTGTGAAGAGAAATCATTATGATAGGGACATGTAGTCTTTGTGCTAAACGGTTCTATTGAATGCTATGTATGAGATATATTGCACTACCATCCCTTCTTCTAATTATCTTCCTCAATTCTGAATCCAAAGTTAGCCCAAATACTCAAGATATAATACCTGCTAAATGTATTCAGCTAAATGTATTTTAGTTCATCTTGCTTGCAGTTATTGCTGAAGTACTTCTCCAAAAGCAGTTGTGAAAACACAACAGTAAAACCATGATAAAAAAAACAGACTGCATTTACTGTGTACAAGCGATCTCTTCTTTAGACCACTCTGTTCTATCTTAAGATTGCTCTGTGATGATATAAGTGCATTTCCATTTAGTGGGAAGGAAAAATATTGCAGTTTATTATTTTCTGATGAAAAAGGTTCAGCTTCATTTTGGGTGTCAAAAGCTATGTAGAGAATAAAGTTAGTTCAGTTCAGTGGCAGCAAGTTCTGAAATATAAGGAACAATTTGCAAAACATTTAATTATTATATTTGGTCCAATCCTGTGTCCAGACTGTATACAATGGAAGTGCTACATTTCTAGTTGTTGCAGGAAATTATGATGCATGTACATTTGACTTCCTTCATATATATATTTTTTCGGCAGAATGGAGTGTTTATATAAAAGACTAACATTTCCTGATACAACCATAATATGTAGCTTGATGACGCAAAAACCATTCCCAGAGTCAATATTTTTCAGTAATTCTGAATGGAAGAATGATGGGTGGCAGATTCTCAAGAGAAGCATTTTAACATCCAATAAAGGTGAAAATCATAATTACTAATAAAAGCACTTTTTAGTGAATAAACCAGTTTAGTTGAAGTATTCTTCAAAAACATTTACAGATACTCGTATTATTAATTTCCCTCTTCTTTGCATTTTGTTATCATTGCTAAGGCCCCACAGCAGTCAGGCAGAACAGAGCCTTTTGATATTCACATGTTCAAAACGTAAGACCAAGTGCTCTTAGAATTCTCCTCCCCCTTCATTTCAGACCTTGGCAAACTATTCTGCGAACTATCAGTAAGTGCAGTCTGTTGTCCTTTTTCAGGATTTCTTATTTCCAACAAGCTATACCAAGAAAATCCTAACTCTGACATAACTGAGGTTCATGCCACACTGAAGCTGAAAGCAAAGGCCAATACATTTGAGGCATCAGCTCCTTGAGCAAATATTTAGCTGCTCACTAATGTCCAGCATTACACATTTGCAAGTGGGGAAGTCTTCAAGGTGCAAAATGTGAAAAGGGTTCTGTGGTTAAAGAATACAAAGGTAATCCATTGTGCTGTGACTTCATAATGCACACATGCAAAAGGATCATATACTGTACCCTTACTGATGAATGGCTCATATATGATTTCAAAATTCAAAACATAACAATACACAGTAAACTGAACTCACTTGAAGACAGTGTAGCCATTTTTAAAACAAAGTGCAACTTGTATTCCAAGATCAATTGCTGTCTCACTTCTGAAAAGGAAGTCCTCCAACATCATTTCCCCTCCGCCCAGCACTATTCTGAGCATCTTAAGGCAAAAATCTACAGGAATCCACAGGGATGCTATGGGAACTCTTATCTGATGTCAAATAAATGGTTGATATCTCTCAACAGAATCCCAATAGACTAAGAGTCTACTTTATCATGGAGAATCATGTTTGTTCTTCATACACAGATTGCTCTCAAAGTTATTTCCCAAAACAATCCAGGCAAACCTACCTGAGCATAGTAGTGTTGTGGATTTGGCCTCATGTTATCTACCTTCTGTGGCCACAATAAGCAGTTAATTTGGCTAAAGCAATGAAAAAAATCAAGAAAAGTCTTCTGCCTTCAATGTTCATGCTTTCACGTTCTGCAAAAATGCATCATTCAGGCAAAAAATAAAAATCTAGCTTTGTCAGGAAATAGAAGAGGAATGTTGTGACATGAAAAGAGGGAAAGTAAGGAATCTTTTATGTTTAAGTCTTTCCCCTCTACTCAATCCATCTGACTTTGGCCTCTGCCCCCAAGAGCTAATGCCAGAAGAGACTAGACACTCATTGGTCCAGCAAACAACAGAACTGATACAGGGCAATGGAATAGTGGCTGCATATCAGAGTTGGCATGTGATTCTATATCAGAGAAATTTCCATATAAAGAGTTGTGCTGCCCTAAAACATTCTTTGCTACTTACCCTACAACAGCTGGAATTCAGACTGAAATATAAAGATGGTTAAGGCCTTGGAAGATTTCCTGTTTTGTGCCCGTGTTTCTCGTGTGGCAAGGCAACCATCATTTTAATAACAAAAAAGATAAAAAATGACAACATAAATGGAAAAAGAAAATACTTTGGTTGATTATTTCGTGTTAAATATATTTTAAGTTAGCTGTCAACAATTTCCTCAGAAGCCTCGACTGAACAAACTGCCTGGTCTTGCACTCTCAAGAAGATTAGACTTTTAGTCATGAAAAAAGGAAATGTTGTGACAGAATCACTGCAGCATACTGTGTCACATTAGGAATGCCCCCCCTGGAAACATGTTGGGGAACACCTTCACTGCCAATAATTGTCACTGGGATGTTGTTGTGACAAATAAATAAGGGAGCAGCGTTTAAAAAATGTAAGCAAAGCTCTTTTTCAGAGCAAGACCTCGAAGCAACAGAATAAAAGCCAGGGTTTGTTTTGCCATTACAACACACCACGTAGAGCTGCTGTGGCCACTTCAGTTTTGTGAGTAAAAAGTCATTCTGTTTAAGCTAAGCAGTCGTTAAGTGTTGGGTTCAAGGTCCTTGGCCTCTGAGTCACACAGAGTTCTGAGGAGTGTGCCCTGTCTGAAAAAAGACATGGAAAGAACTCAGTCTTCAGTCTCTTCGTATGTAGTCTCATCGAAAGGTCGGTCGAGGAGCGGTACCTGTCGGTGGCGGGAATACTTCAACATCAAGAGGTCTCCAACTTCATCTATTTTCTTTAAAGCCTAGAAAAGGAAAATGAACACCAAGTGTAAGAGGGAGATCAATTCCCTTCCTCCAAAAATGTGACAGCAAACAAACCATACAGTGTTGCTGCTACTACCACCACTATGACTATGGGCCTTCAAGATGTTTCCAACTTAAGCCAAATCTCTCACAAGATTTGTTTAGAATGCAGTTGCCTTTGCCTTCTTCTGGGTATCAGAAAACATAACTTGCTCAAGGTCACCCAGTAGGTTTTCATGGCTGAGCAAGGATTTGAAAACTCTGGTCTCCATAGTCGTAGTTCAATGTTCAAACCACTACACCATGCTGGCTCTCACTATTACTACTTCTATTGCATTACTACTTTAAAAACACACACTGCTAAACCTGTACCATATGTGGTATTTGAAACTACCTTGTTTCAAAAGCAGATTGTTGGCAAGCTGCAAACTTACATGAGTCTGCACAATATCACTGTTAAAAAGCCTATGTGTTGACATGTGTAAATTGCTGATGAGGCTTAGAAATGGGGGGAACAAGTCCAGCCATAAGGGTTGTGGTCTTCCAGGGCAAATGGAGTATGACTGCACAGTTGGGATGGTTTCAGAATAAGATTTTCTTTGAATTAACTGAGCAAGAACACCTTAGGAAGTTTTAAGAATACAACTCCAATTAGCAACTACTAAAGTTAAGGTCTCTTAACAAAGACATGGGAAAGTACCAGTTAGATTTTTGAGTGCATTCAAGTACATGAGGCAAAGATCCTAATCCGAAGGATATTTTGCAGGTAGCAAGGACACCCATTCTAATGAAAACTATATCACTTTAGACAGATTAATTTACCCTGGACTACTGGCCTTTTTATTCTCTTTTATCTGGTAATATGGACTTGCTTGATAAACAAAATATCACTCTTTCTAATTATCTTATTTTGCCACCCCCTTTCTATTTTTCCTGACTGGTTGAAGAAATGCATTCTGTGACGTGTTGACAGCACAAGCTACTTGGTATCAAAATTGAGGATTTCGAAAATTTCTGGAACTTCTGAAAGTCGAATGCTACCGGAACATGGCCATACAGCCCGGAAAACTCACTGCAACCCAGATTTCGAAAACTTCAGCTTTTATTTTAAGTAAGTTCTAATTTTGAGCATGTGAAGTTCCAAGTTTGAACATGTGAAAACATTCCAGTCTCTAAAGTCAGGAGAATAGGATATCTGGTGATTATATATAACAGAGAGTCGGAAAGACAAAATATATGTGAAGCCGAACTGCCTTGCACAGCTCCATGTGTCTCCGATGATTAACAACAAGTGTAATATAAAACCATTAGCAAAAGCAGGCACATTTTAAACATTATTCTTGGTTTAGGATGTAAGTTACTTGGGACTTAAGTACAAAACACACACAGGCCCTGCTCACTGTTAACACCTTTCACTACTTCAGTAAATGAAATTCAAGTGATTTCTGGATCTCTTTATAATTTGTTCTAGCAAGAAGTATCATAGTCACACAATTTCTTTCCCAGATACGTACTTAACTATTTTTATAGTTGCAAGTTCTCACCTCTCCTTGTTTTTCTGCAAACTCTTTTATGAATGCCCCCCAACACTTTTTCATTCTTGCCCTTTCTTCCTAGGAAAACCATCTGTGGCAAATATGAGGAAATATCAAGCCCCCTCGTCTACTCCTCATTTCAGTAGCTCTTTTCCCCTCACAACCTCTCTGGCCCCAATGACCAAAAATGTGATGTGTACAAATGAGTGCCATATGCCATGAAATCTAAAGGTGGTAACTTAGTTTTGGAGAGCCCCCTTCTCTACAGAGGCCCCATATACTCTGTAGAGGGGGGCGACAGGGAAAAAGAGGAACAAGGTTAGACATTTCCAAACATGGTCGAAACTGAGCACATTTTAAGCAGGGATTTAGTTAAAAAAACAACATATGGAAACAATTTGAGGTTGAATTTCTGTTGAAAGCATTTGTTAACTGTTATTCTTGAACCCAGATTTAGGATTTTATTAATTTAAAACAAAGAGGAACACGTGACTTGCAAAGACTACAAAGGAAATGGCACCAGTGAACTCTGACTTCAGGAAAGTGTAATATATTTTTCATCACTGAAAAGAAAGCACCAGCCCACAGGGATGTAGGTTATGAGAGGCTTTGCTCTGATCCACGGCCAAAGTATTTTCAGGGAAGGAAGTTTTATTTACATAAAACAGTTCTACATTGTAAAAGAGAAACAGTGCCCATCGTATGCATTGATTTAATAAGGAAGCATTACAAACCTCAGGTTTTTAAAAAAGAGAGGGGAGGAGAGAGAATAGAAAGTAAAAAAGAAGGAAAGAGAGAGCAAGACTCAGGCATCTATGGACAAAGTCTCTATTCCACACACAGCTCAGTTTCAGTTCTGAAAAGCTGGCATATTAATGATAATTTAGTAAAGGTGAGTTATATCTTATGAGTACAACGACCATGTTGGATTTGTGTAACTTATTTTGAAGGAACTGAAGGGTCAAGGCTCCCATGAAGATTTCACACAAATAAAGTCCCTTTGATCATTCTAGCATGGACATCAGTAGAAGTGCCATAATTTTTCAATTTCTCATGCTGGATTTCATGTTAAGGAGGATGCCAGCTACTGTCAGATAAACACGTAGGTAGATTTGGAACATAACTGTTAAATTCAGAAAGCATGATTTTTGGCTTCAGAAAAGTTCTGTGGCATCTTAAAAGGCAGTGAACTTTGAGTGGTATGAGATTTTGTTGATTAAAGTTGGATGCAGTTATGTTCTTTGTATGCCACAATAAATTTGTTAATCTTTAAGGTTAGCATTTGAAAAAAAAAAGAGACATATACTAAAAGCCCCATCTTTTAAAAGAAAAAAGCAGCTTTTCTGATTTATTTAAATCTAATGAAATCTTGTGCCATAATATAGGTTGAGTATTTCTTATAAAAATGTTTGGGACCAAAGGCATTGGGATTCCCCCCCCCCCCAAAATTTTGGAAAACCCCGTATTTGCATATACAAACATAATGAGATATCTTGGAGATGGGATCCAAGTCTAAATATGTTTCATATACACCTTTAAACACAAAGCCTGAAGGTAACAGTATACAATATTTGTAATACTATTGCACATAAAATAAAGTTCGTGTACAAAGGTGTCACTATTTCAGCCACTCATGGGGACAGTTTCAAATTTTATAATATTTTGGATTTCCAGATAAAGGATGCTCAACCTTTAATGCCAAATCTGTGCAATTACTTCACCAGTCCTGCTGCAATACAATTCTTTTTAGTAGCTTAATTAGAAGCATCTAGTTAGGAACCCACTAGAGAATTATGGAATAGTGCAATGACAATTTGAAATGGCCACGGATTATGATTTTGGATAACGTGATTTTAATAAATGTTTTAAGGTTTTGATATGTTTTTAATAATTGCCTTAATATATTTATTTTATTATGTATGTATGTTTACATGGCATTGAATGCCGACTTGAGTCCCCTATGGGGTTGAGAAAGGCGGGGTATAAATAGGGTAAATAAATAAATAAATGTGTCCTTCAAAGCCCATCCTTCTACGAAGATAATCTTCAAAAGACACCCATCTTGTTTTATATTGTATACATTAAGCTGCTGAAATTTTGTTCTCTTTGCTGATTCTTTCTAGCACCATTAGTATTCCTGCACAATGATAGTGCTATATACACAAATTTATACAAAAGTTACATATAAAACTTTTTTAAAATCTGGAAAACTTATAGAACATCTGAATTCTAATATATAGAAGAATTTTAAAACTGTCACAAACCTCTAAGTCAAACCGAAAAAGTATAGAATTTTAAGCAGTGCCTAAAGACAGGCAGGGTTTTCTCTGCTAGAGACTTGTTCAAATAAGTTTGGCAAGTACTTCATTAGATTAAGAAATGCACAAATGTTGTCTAAAATGTCTTCATACAGTTTCTCTCATCTTAGCCAGCACTTTGATGAAATGAACAAATGCTTTGAAAAAAAATTGGTGATGATAATTTAGGATTCAGCCTCCCTTATAGTGATGGATTCACTCAGAAATACAGCAGTCCCTACTGGAACTGAGAACTGCCCATTCAAACTTACAAAGTAAAGCCAACCACTTCTGAATATGGAAGATTCTTTGACAGTTGCAATAAAGCATGGCAACAACATGACAGCATGGCAACAACACGACAGAGTGCAGTGATGTTACTTAAAGACAAAAATTATGCCCAGAAGTGCAATCACTTTCTCTCTGTGATTCTCTCTCTTTTTTATATAATTAACGGCTGTGACGAGTAAGAGCAATCATTGTGTTGTTCTTCTAAAAAGACAAGGCTAAACTTCATTACTTACAATATCAAGTATCTCTTTGGTATGAATTGCAGACAGACAGATTCTGGCTCTGGATTCAATGATTGGTGTGGCAGGAAAACCGACAACAACGACACCTATGTGCCGTTTCAACATCTCTCGTCCAAATGCACTACAAAAGAAGCAAGACACGATTATTAAAGAAGCAGCATCAACTTAAGGTCTATATTAACTAATGCAAGACAGCCTTTGGTGAAGAATGCCTGGGAGGCCACTGTTTGACTGCTTTGCCTTAGAAGGAGAATGACTGCACATAAAGGGCGCTTTTGTTCAGATCTGAGGTGGTCTTCCTAAAAAAGTTTCACTGTATTAAGTTCTCACAAAGCTGAAAGATTATATTTGGCAGGGACTGATCTTTTAGCGGGCTGCTTCTAAGTGGATTTGTAACTTGAAAGTCTCTTTGATAGAACACAGCAGTTTCAGCTTGGGAGCTCACTTACCAGGAATCACACACACTCACACACAGAATTATCTGAGTGGAAGACCGTACAGTTCAGAAAACGTTAATGTTTTGTAATTTCATGTAAATGTGAAAAGGCAAACAGAATGTGCTCTTGAGTTAGAATCAAGCTTCTTGAGCATTAGCTTCCAAATTCCAAAATGAAATACTTCAACTCCTTACAACTTACCCAATTTTTGCTGGCATATACAGCATTAAAGGTACAACAGGAGAGTCTTCATTTCCATAGATGATGAAGCCCAATTCCTTAAGCCGCCTACGAAAGTATCTGGTATTCTCAGCCAACTGCTGTATGCGCTGTTTACCTGAAAAGAAAAAAATACAGTTTTTATCATATTCTTTTTAAAACATTTGTGATATCAACATTAATATTAATAGCTTGAGGAAGTGGATGCTGGTTATATAAAAACGAGTTCATTAAATCTAGTCATGTCAGACTCTGGGGGGTGGTGCTTTTCTCTATTTCTGAACATTAAGAAAACCAAAATAATGACCACATATGAGTTATATAACTTCAAAGTAGATGATGAAAATGCTGAAATAGTTCAAGACTTTTCTCAGTTCAGTCAATAACTTAAAAGAACACCTGGACTTATAATGCAGTTTTGATCAAATTGAACAAGATCCTGACATACATAGATATATTACTGAATACTAAAATTACGATTATCTATGCCATCTTACTTCCAGTTTCTATGTATGGTGATGAAAGCTGGAGAATAAGAAAGCAGAAAGGAAGAAAATCAATTCATTTGAATGTAGTGTTGGGAAAGGGTTGTACCAATAACATAAAAAGGTAAAGGTTTCCCCTTGACATTAAGTCTAGTCGTGTCCAACTCTTTGGGGTGATACTCATCTCCATTTCTAAGCCAAAGTGCTGGTGTTGTCTGTAGACACCTCTTAGGTCATGTAACCAGCATGACAAATAACATAGGAATGCTAAAAAGACAAATAGAGAAAATCAACCCTAAACTCTCCCTGGAATATAACTAAATCTGGACTGTCATACTTTGGCCATATCATGAGAAGACATGACTCACTAGAAAAGACAATAATGCTTGGTAAGGTAGCAGGCAGTGAGAAAAGAGGGAGACTGCATGAGAAATGGATGGAATTAGTCATAAAAGTCATGGCAGTGGGTCTGTGAGTCCCAAGCAGGACTGATGAATACAGGGTAACTTGGTCTCTCATTGAAAGGGCACCATAAGTCAACGTCCACTTGCACTTAAAAAAGCACATGTATATTGTATTAATATACCATTTAATAGACAGACTCTGTAAAGAAACTGCTGTGGATACAAAGCAATTCTTTGTTAAGTATCATAATGTTAATATCCCAAACAAAGCTGTCCTAATTCCGACAGACCTCACTACCTCTGAGGATGCTTGCCATAGATGCAGACGAAACGTCAGGAGAAATGCCTCTAGAACATGGCCCTATAGCCCAAAAAAACCCACAAGAACCTAGTGATTCCAGCCATGAAAGCCTTCGACAATACAAAGCTGAAAAAATATGCAGACAAACCAAAGAAATTTCACTTTGATCTAAATGTAGGTAAAAGAATTAGGTAAAAGGCAAACTTCCTGTGGGTTTTATAGAGGAATTCATTTCAATTAAGACAACTTATACGCATTATAAATTGAAGGAAGAATCCCCCCTGGATTAATGGAAGGAAGAAAAGAGGAAAGAGCATTATTCAAAGGAAAAAATTTAAATCCTAGACTTCTCATAAGGATTAAGAAGTATTAAAATCCCTTCCTGTCTATGTGTCATGAAATGTGAAAAAGAGGACACTGAAGGTTGATGCCAATCTCTGACCTTTCTATCTAGTGTTATTCTTCTCCTTGTTTTTCAAAAGGGACTGGCAGGAGGGAGTCTGTAAAACTAATCATCCCTTTATAAGATCCAAATCCAAATCAAGTTTGATGCTGAAACAGTGACTAAAGTATGTGGCCCATCCTGATTCCAAATCGTCTTCTAAGTTTTATACATTATTAACAGAATTAGTTGCTATGGGAAAGCTTAGACCATAATGGAGATGATGTGAATCAAAATGATGTATGGAAATTCCCTGTACTGAAATTCACTTTTGCTTTGATTAAGGGAAAATTGGAATAAAATATCACAGAGGACAAATACAGGGTCGAGTACCGCCCAGAGGTTTATTGCCATTATTTGTAAATAAGAATGAAGCACTGAATCATAAACGTTTAATTGCTGCTCCGCATTCAGCATCCTAATCAGAAAAGGCTAGATTAGATCAATTAGGAAACAGAATAATAAAATTGCTGAGTCTTGGATGTGGCAAAAAGCCCTAATATAGTGGTTCCCAAGAACTGGTCCTCCAGGTGTCTTGGACTCCATCTCCCAGAATTCCTGAGTGTTGGTCGAACTGACTGGGGTTTCTGGGAACTAAAATCCAAACACCTGGAGGATTAAAATTTGGGAACCACTCTAATGGACACGTTCAAGGTAATTGACAAAGTACTGAAAGATACATCCCTAATAAACAATACCTAATATAAAATGATGCTTTAAAAACTGTTGCTTATATTCATATGTCTGTATCAGTAAATACCAGTACAACATTTGTGGACTACTGGATGACACCTGGGAAGAATACTATGCAGGTCACTAAACTAAATTAGGGTGGGAAGCTTTCAAGTGGCTGGGGTCTACTTTTTTCCTCTCTCGATTCCCCTGAAAATGGTTGCTTCTGGTTTCTTAAAAATACCCCTTGTTGCTTAAAACAGACCAGCTATGACAGGGGTGGAATTACAAGCAAGGAACCATTCATACACATCAGTGGCTAGTGCGGATGTGTAATTTATTGAGGGGGGGGGGGCTCCTAAGAACATAGAGATTTGAAGGATCAAATGCTACCCATGGACTATGCATTGTTCAGCCTGAGCAAGATGGATCTGCTTCCAATAGACTGTGTTTGTTATGTTTCTAAGCTACTGCATTAGTCATTGTATGCTGATACTATATTGTTTTAATTCTTTTCATGAAAGTTTTTTTAAAAGAAAGCAAACACACACTTCTATTTTGTTTCACTTGGTTAGCTGCATATTTGCTGTCTTTTCAATCCCTAAATGTGAGTTTCTGAGCTGTCTTGACACAGAGGGACTGAGATCTGGACAGCACTGTAGCAATTTGACCACTCATCAGTCAGATTATCCTTGCAGCTATTCATGTTCTGTTTATAGGCAAATGTGCTATGATGTGAAATCACTAGTATGCAGCATTATTAAGGGTACATTTGCCTGAAGAGAGTTTCATTCATGCTCACTGAATATGTCAAAAGATAACTGATGACTGTATCTGAGACGTTTTGGAGTATGCCTCATGACACAAAGGGGTAGCTTCTAGAAGCAGCAATCAGTCTCCTGCACAAAAAGATAATCCATCAAAAAGTAGAAATGAACAAAAACAAAATGTTATCTGAATAAGCATTCTGTTAATAGAGATGGTATATGGAGTAACTGGTACGCCTTCCCTCCTTTTAAGCAACCAACAGTAATGAAAACATCCCATGTGGAGAACCAAGATTCAAGAAAAACAAATGTAGTTGCTCTGAACCCATGTGCTGTGAGATATAAAGTGCCATATACATCAAAGCAACACATATATCAAATCCTGTCCTGCAAACAAGCAAATGAGGGAGCCTGCAGCATCAGTGTTTGCTTTACATCTCAGCAAGCCCTTTGAAGACAAAGTAATTTCACTGGAGGGCACTGGAGTTAAAAACCAAAGTAACCACCTGTAAAGGATAATAAGGTTCCCCACGCCCCCTTCCTCCATCACTTTGTATAACAGGGCTTCCAAATCAGACATCTGTTTTTTTAACAGTGGGACATCAAGACTTTCAGTTTCAAACGTTTGTGATATAATGATTCGTGCTGCATTATTTCCAGAGTTTACTTTTACCATTATCTGTGTAAATCTATTAATGAAGCATGCATTCACTTTCCCTTGTACAACAATTCAATAGGTCTTTTCAGGATTATCAGGCTAATTTCTTTGAAGTTTTAGCTTCAAAATCCAGGGGGGAAAAAACCCAAACCCCCCATAGACATAGTGTATAACAGCAAACAAACAAAGAAACCTTATAGCCTACAGTAGACTTTGTCAAATGAATTGGACTATAGAACATGAAAACTCTAACAGTAAGAAATTTACTAGTCTTTCATGTGGCAGAGGACTTTTTTCTATTTCTAATGCAAAACACTGAATGCATGAATGAGTTACTGACATAAGTAAAATTAGTATGTAGGTAGCTGCCTATTTTAAATACACAGCAATGATTCTGAGAAACCAAAGAGAAAGGTGGTAGTGGACATTTGAAAAGCGATGCATGGTCTAGACATGCTGACTGTGCAAACAGTAAAAAAGGAGCTCCATATATATTCATTACAAAATCCACAAGCCCTGGATGAGAGCACTTAAAAAGCTCTCCTCTCTCCTTCCATGATGACAGATCATGCAGTACACCAATAAGTGGTACTTAACTCTAAAGTACAAGCTTTCCTATTTGAGGCCTCCCAATGATAAGAGCCAGCATTTCTTAGAGCTGATTATGACAGATATCAATGATGTGTATACAATTGACACCTGGAATAGTACAAAAGTCTACCTCAAGCGCTGACACTTTCTATACCATATAGATTATAATATTGTGCATGCTTTTCTTTATATGGTATCTGATTTTTATTTATGAGCACTCAATTCTGGGGGAAAAGGAAGGATATAAAAAAGACAAAATAGGAGTTCCATAATACAACCTTTAATATGAATGCAGAAGTCACACGAATAAAACATCAGAAATGCCACAATTCTATACTAAACAAATGAGCCTTATTCATGAAGGCAAAGAATAAAATTATTCCATTAGAGGCTATTCACATAAAGGCCCGTTTACTTTGGAAGTTTCTATGAGCAACAGCGTACCTAATTGTTCTTGCAGTGCCAAAATACAAGGTGGATCTGAGCCCAGAACTATCTGGCAGTGAGCTAAGTTTTGCTAACAACCAGCAATTCACATCTGGAAACAATACCAACTATAGTAGCAAAGTTAGAAAGTGCTAAAGTTCTGAAATAGCAGAAATATATCGTGATTAGCATACGCTGTCAGTGATTAAGATGCCTCAATCCTAACAATATATAAAATACACTTTATGTGATAAAAGTACACTAACAAGTTGATGACTACAGGATACAGGTCCCACTTCTAAATTAGTTTATCATGGTATCTCCCTGAGATTAGGGTATGTTTCCTGTGAGTGGGACATGTCTTGATTACAC